TGGTAGCCCCATCCTAAACACCCCTCAGTAAATGCGATCAGGTGGTTAAGGTTTACAAGCCTCATGACAAGGGGAGTGTCTGAAGAGGGGGTATTTTGCAAATGGACAGATGTTCCTACCCATCTTCTACAGCAGTGGAGAAGGTACATAGATGGTGTTGCAGGCAAACCACGGATGTGGGCAGCGAGGTCTGGGCTGATGGGCGGTGATGAAGGCCAGCCATATGGTGGATGGCTGGAGGTGGCACACCTATCATTGCCTTGCACCACCCAGGGTGCAGGCAGCTGCCAGGTGGTGCCAGGGACACCCTCCTGCTCCCTCGCTTCCTTGCTGTAACTCCTCTCACTGCTTAACTCCTCTCTTTCTTTCTTTCTTCTTCTTTGTCTCCCTAATTAGTATCTTATTGATTCCACACTTACACGTGAGCTTCTGTCAGGGCAGGGGACAATCATTTTGGGGATGTCCGTAATGGGGCCATTTTTCAGACACAGACCTTTAGTTCTGGACCAAGAGCTCAGTGCAAATGGCACTGTCTTCTAACTGAAGTGCTTCAGAGGAGCAGTAGTCATACCTGGGGTTGGATTTGAGAAAATCTGGGTAAGAAATTCATTTACACATTTTTTTAAAAAATTAAGTAGTAACTAGGGAACAAGCATTTGAAGAGAAGGAAAGTTCTACAACACGGGGATTTGAAGCTTGCATATTAAAAAAAAATTAATAATAACAGAGAGGCTTGAATATTTTTTCCCTTCTTTTAGGCTGAAGACATTTCCTGTAGATTGTTCTTTCATGCCAGCAGTATGCACCCACTGACAGAACAACTAATGGAGTCGGCGGGTCTATAGTCTGAGAATACAAGGGAAAAATCCCAAGCTCTGGAGAAGCCAAGGGCAATACTGTCACAGAGCCAAGACTTCTACCCTGAATCCTATGGACTTAAAAGACAAGGCAACAAGAAATGTTTTCCTTGGGTGCTCTCTTTATCTGGACATCTAAATTAACCCGAACACTTCTCGGTGTTTACCGAGCCAGTGTAATTAGCTCTGTGCTTCACACAAAGCCTGTGTTTAACCCGCTGCAGCTATAGACCATTTCTGCTGACTACATAATAAACATCACCTACATTTGTCAACCACTGTCACCTGCCATTCATACAACCACTACCACGTTCCCATGGAGACTCAAGAGCACTGGTGCAAAAAGCCTTTTGCATTAAGAAAAATCGGTCATCTAGGTTAAAGGAAATGGCCAGCCTGAGGAAGAAGTGACAGCTCCAAAGACTGGTTTCTCCGATTTACTCGCAGGACCTTTAAGGCACAGGCATATTTCCTCACATGACCCTGCCTTCCCATCTAACTGATTTGAAAAGGGCTACTAAAATGATCTGAGGGCTGGAGCACCTCTCTTATGAGGACAGGCTGAGAGAGTTGGGCTTGTTCAGCCTGGAGCAGAGAAGGCTGGGGGGAGACCTGATTGTGGCCTTTCAGTACCTAAAGGGGGCCTATAGGAAAGAGGGGGAAAATCTTTTTAGTAGGGCCAGCTGCGACAGGACAAGGGGTAATGCTTTTAAACTAAAACAGGGCAGGTGTAGACTGGATATAAGGAAGAAATTCTTTACAATGAGGGTGGTGAAACACTGGAACAGGTTGCCCAGAGAGGTGGTGGAGGCCCCATCCCTGGAAACATTCAAGGCCAGGTTGGATGGGGCTCTGAGCAACCTGATCTGGTTGAAGACATCCCTGCTCACTGCAGGGGGGTTGGACTAGATGACCTCTAGGCGTCCCTTCCAACCCAAAATATTCTATGATTCTATGAAAATGCAAGGAGTACATCAGTGCCTCTACACCTTCCACCTTCAGCTTCCCTGAACTTTTTCAGGCCGTGCTGACAACGGGGTGCAAAGCCTGGATAAAGATCAGCTGTTACATCTCTTAAAGTACTCCTCAGTCAGAGGCAATATATTTTTCTGCTAGGATTGCCTCATTATAATGGCAGGAAAACAGAAGACAATCATTCAGTGCTTTAAATCACATACCACTTCTTTGTAAGGTGGAGAGAAAACACAGCCAAAAGTAACTCTACACTTTTTGCACAGCTTGATTTTTTTATTGCTGTTGTGTCAGTCCAGCTAAGTGAGTAGGTGAGTCAGCATGTGAGGGAATCTTGTAGGCTAAAAGCTCCAATCCTGTGGGGTTTTAAATAAACCCAAGTATCCAGATCCACTCTGCCTCACCCATGACACCCTCGAACCTAGTACCGACAAAACTGCTGCCACATACATCAACTGTACCCTGTGAGATGAGATGTTAGTGTCCCCGTTTCACAGATGGAGACACTGATGCTCTCAGCATCACGTATCTGTCAAACATAGCCTCCAACAGACGGTGCCAGACTCAAAAAGACATGAAGCACGCAACATCAGGGGTCGCATTTTAAACCTTTGATTGTATGTGCTTCTTCAACATCATAGAGCAAACCTGTGGCACAGATCACAGCTCTTCTGAATCAGTCCAACGCCTGAAAAGAAGAATGACCACGTGCCCAACAACACACTCCCAATTTGTATGTTGTTTGGGAGTCATGGATTAAGGCCTTGACGACTATGCTGTTTACTCAGCAGAACTATGCAAACAGTTTCAGGAGAATTCATGAGAACTCTGGTTGTATACACCAGCCTGGATCAAAACTTAGGGGTACACTTGTTCTTGAAAATCAGGTATTTGCAAGGAGCCTTGGAGAACATCTCTCACTCCATCAAAGATAACTTGCTGAACATTCTGTTATTTAGTCCCACAAGGCACGATACTGAAAGAAGTTACAAGGTGCTGTTACTCTCCAGCAATGGGAAGAACGTGCCTGGGAGAGGAAGCCTGCAAATTGGGCTACCTGTCAGACTTGTCGCTGTTCCTGGCTCTGCCAGTGAATTCCTGCATTGCCTGGGCAAACACCACAGAGTCACATGCCTCGCTTTGCTCAGCTATCCCACACAGTAATATCCACCTGCCTCAAAGGAACCCAAAGGTTTTTTCTGGGTCTGACTGCTCTTCTATTACAGCCAGTGGGGTTTTACTATTACCACCATCATCAATTGCAAGGGGAGCAGCATGCAGCCTATGTAAAGTGTTTCTAGGATTCTAGCACAAGCTAATCCACACAGGCCTCTCATTCGTCTTGTGGTCCCAGGTATTACCACACATTTCTGAAAAGGCTTTCTGCATAGCACAACTGCAACAACAGTCATTTCACCTTCTAATATACCACTAAACACTAAGCAAGAACAAAAGAAGCAAGCTGCAGCTTGATACCTGAATTCCAAGAAAATTACAATCTCATGGTTCTCCTTGTTTCTTGCCATCTTCTTCAGTTTCTTCCAGTATGTTACTTCATGCATCTGTTCAGTGAGATCCCAAGGCTGAGATCGCCACTTACTCCTCAGCCTATTACAGTCAAAAGCATAAATTCCCTTGATATGAAGGACTTCATATCAAGCCCATGTCTTCTGTTTATGTGTAACATAGAAAAGATGCTTGTGCCAACAGAGACATGAAAAGTCAGTTCTGCCAAAGGGAGACAAACGAGTCTACCTCATCTTTAAAATCAACGCATTGTTCCTTGGAATACTATTAATCTGCGTACACAGACAGATAGAGATATCAAAGATTGCTTATTGAACTGACACATGGTGTCAGTGAGAATGTCCTTCCCTGCCAGATCTACAATCTTTACCTCAACAGTGAGGTGGGGACACTTCAGATAGCTGAAGTTAAATACCCTAAGGCTTACAACTCCGTGAGTCATTTTGTTGTAATACAGGCAGTACCATCTCGTGATTCAATTTATTAGCAACACTGGGACATACCATGATAAGCATCAGTTCATGCTACTTTGAGTCTACAAAGCGGTGAATCCAACAGCAATGTCTAACAGACAGCATGTTTACCACTTGCCCTAGCTTCATGCACTCACAAGTCAGGATGGTGCAGAGAGATCAATTCTTGTGAAAGGCAAGGACTGACCTGAAGCTCCAGCTCCGGAGAAGAGCGTGTAAGGAGAGATCCTTTATGTAAGGACCTCCACTTTCATTTAAAAGACTATTTCTTTAAAGCTCTGAGTGTTATGCCCTAAACAGTCAAACACTAGAGAACAAAAAAGAAAAGTATATTTTCAAACAAAAGAACAAAATTGCATTTAAGTTGATGCTGACAATGCTGCAGCTTGTCATGGAAGAATTGTTATAAAAAATTCTACCTTCCTAAATGCATATTACACTGTGAGCTACAGGCAATGGAATTACTTTTCGGACCAAAACTTCAGCAAAATTCAAGGGTGTGTAGTTTGGTGTCTCCCACTAATCAGTATCAGGCTGAGTTAGCGGTGGACTTGACAGTGTTAGGTTAACGGTTGGACTTGATGATCTCAAAGGTCTTTTCCAACCTAAACAATTCTATAATAACATTCAGTAAGTCTTGAAACTGTTGGCCAATTCTGTTAAAATAAAATAGATCTAGAGACGCTAGTTGAGATCATAGCCCTTTTGTACTTGATGCACTTGTGCAAATGTGTGCCCGGCAGAACAAAGACAGGAGCTGTGCTCTGGAGATGCAGCAAAGGAAAAAACAAAGCGCTTTGTGACCAACACAACTCAGGAAATCAGATCTCCTACAGAATTGTGCTCCTTGGCTGATTAAACGTTTACACTGAACTGTACTACAATCTTCTGTTTCCACGTTCAAAATGCAATGCATCAAATCAGAGTTATCTCTCTTCTTTGAAGTTTTGAGGGAAATGCCAGTCCAGGGGCATTCACCCAAAAACCCCTTCTCCTTTCCTCTTTACAACTTCATTTACACCGCGTATCTTAACGCCAAACAGAGGCAGTCACGTATGAAAGCATCACTCAGTCCCTAAGCTAAAAACTTGAGAAAATTGGCAAGTGTCTGACTCTAGACTTGCTTTTCCCTGTTGGTCTGTTTCTACAAAATTTGCAAGAACTTAATTACCTTGGAGCTGTTCTTCTCACGCCATACTTGGCTGAAAATGGGAAATGGAAATAAAATATTATTTAAAGGACAAATACCTGAAGATGCATGTGCTTACACATACTAAAGGATGGCATAAACCTTGCTTCCAACAGAAGCTATGCTAAAAGATAGACGCTAGTTATCTTTTTGAAGTTGCAACGCAGGTGCTAGGTTTGGAGCATCCCCTCAGGCAGTGGCATTGCTCTTCAAAGACATGCGGATGCAGGCATAGCCACATCCTGAGGCTGAGCATCCACAAGCGTACACAGAGGTTTTTAGGATGATTTGGGAGCCACAGATAACTGGAGGGGCACAGAAAAACGGCTTACACAAGAGGGAAAGCTAGACACTCTTCTCAGTGAGGTCAGTGCACAAAGGCCACACAAGAGTACACAGGCACCAGGAACAGACTTGGAAGCATGGTAAAAGTCTTGACCAGGATGGGAGGGGAAGGAGGAACAGTGAAATACGTGGCTGAAGTAAAGAACTGGAGCTATCAGAAGAAGGAAAACAAGAAGAGAGGCAAGTACCACAGTACTGCACCTTGAATGGTAGCCAATTCTGCCTTTGTTGGGAATTTGAGAGGATTCCGGATCTGATGATTCACAAAGAACATGAAAACAGCATTGGGTGTAGGGGAAAGCTGTTTTCACAGAGAGCCCATCAGCTTTGTCAGACTCCACTTCCTGACAACTAGTTTGTAGGGAACAATGTTTCCATGACTCACCAAGAGATGGTTGCTTCTCCTTGAAATAAAAGTCACCACGGGACCGACTGTAGTGAGTTACACTTCCTTGAGATCCAACTGGCTCACACACTTGGCAACCACGGAGACTGCCAAGCTGATGTGCATTTCAACAACCCACAGATTTGAGACACTTTTAGAAAAAGAAGGAAAACACTTGAAGGCAACCAATCAGCTTTTAAAGTTTTGTTGCATTTTTAAAATTTTTTCCCCCAGAAAACAACCACTGTATACAAAGATTGTCAAATGGCATGCAGGACGCCAAGGGCTTAAAAGTAACATCCAAAAGTAGCAGCAAGAAGCTGGTAAGAGTCGCGTAGTGATATTATTTTTTGTTAAAGATTTGAGATACCTAGGCTTAGATTTGAGGCAAAGGAGAAGGCAGACATCCTGCTCTGATGAACTTGCAAAAAAAAGCAGTATCTTGCAACCACCATTTTCACAATTAATCATCACAGATTCCATAATTCCTGCAGATTTCAGGCTGTTAGCCTATTTGAGTAGAGCTGTTTCTAGGAATAAATGTTTTCCTGGATAAAGACCTAAATTCACGCAAGTCAGACCAGTAAGTATTTGGGAATAAAAGAGACAGCAGAAATGAGCGTATGAGAAACTGAAGCCTTACTACACATTGGGGTGGGGGCGTTTACATATGGAAGTCATACAGTATCTAAAAATGAGGGTAGCAGCTCTTATCATAGTGAAAGTGGGAACCTTTCTGTTTAGGAGGAAAAAGAGAGGCAATGTCACACCTGCTTAAGGGGAATCGGAGCTGAACTAGGATATATTTAATATATTTGAAGGGGAGAGAGGCTGGGGAAGGAGATCAGAAACAAGGAGCTTGCGAACTGCAATAGAGTCCTGGCAGCGGGGACCGAGAGATGAAGAAATTTGACAGCAACGCTGGGCAACCAGCTTTGGCAAGAGCATGACATCTGTGAAGGAAAAGTTGTGGAATGCAGCTGAACGCTTCCAGCAGGCTGGTACCCACTCACAGATGCGATTTTTTTTTTTTAAAAAAAGAAGTTAAATAAAAGGTTTCACCCGTTCGGCTGATACTACCTAGGGAGGTACGTTGCAATTACTGCAGCTGCGTTGTTACGTACGTGAGTAGTACACCGGGAGCTCTCGCACTACCCAGGCAGCCACCTCGGCGAGGGCAAGCGCTGCCCCCGCGTCCGGCTCTG